ACGGGTGCTTCTAGCTTGAGGTAAGAAAATTACTAGTACATAATTTCCTTCAAAAAGAAAAAGGGTGCATTTTATTTCCTTTGTCTAACGTACGTGGTTGGATGATCATCACTAAAAAAGTCCAAATACGAAATGTGCACGAGTATTTTTTTCCACTCTGCGTGACTTCGGATCCTTCTTTGGATAAGGATAATGTTTTGTTGGCCTACGTATGCTCTTTGATTATTAATTTCAGGGTTAAATCCACTTTATCCCCCAAACTTTGGACGATTACCCACTTCGTCCCAAATAACATTACATGAGTGATTGATTACCTAGAAAACAAGCAAGCAACAAGTGGAGATAATTAAACAAAGCAACATCTATCTAACATTTCTGGGAAGTCTCCTGAGTCACTTTCTTGGGGATAGTCACAGTTAAGACTCCATTCTCAAGCCCACATTTGATTCCCTCCAAATCAGCATTTTCCGGCAGCCGGAACCTCCTCCGGTAGCTTCGACGGCGGCGCTCCACCCTATCTCCACTGATTTCCAGCATGTTGTGATCTTCCACCTGCACCTTCAAGTCTGCCCTGTTGACCCCAACCAAAATATTAAAGCAGCCATTTATTTTAGACAATATTAACCTTGCTAACATGCACCCTTGTGAATATATTGCACATATCCCTACTACACACCCCATGAAAGTTTGTTCAATTTCCTTGTTTTTCACCATTTATATGATATATATGAAATACCCCAAACAAAAAAAAAATAATTACAATTAAATCAGTTCACCTAATAAATTTTTTTGCTCTTTTATCTAATATTGAGGTCATCAAATACATTTCTTGTGCCCAATTTGGGAAAAAAATGGAAAGAATAAAGTGCTCAAGAAAAGTGGAGTGTGCTATAATTAAATTTGGATGAAAACTCTTAATTATTGGATTACATCCAAGTCTCAATAATAGAGAAATATCATTTAGACCAATGAAATAAATGATGTTACTTAAGTTGAAGCAAATGGATTATAAACGATGCTCACAAACATTAAGAAAAAAAAAAGAGAGATATTTAATAGAGACCACTATTTAAATGATGTTATGCTATAATTTAAACTACATGATTTTAAACTAAAGATTTTTTTTTATTTTGGGGGAAAAAAGAAAATTGGATGAAAGAGAAAGGAGCGATAAGTCGATAACCAGGCAGATCAACACGAAAGATGTGGGCATGGTCAGTTTCGCGCCAATCCACGTTGGCATGAGCCAGAGCAGACACGTCATCACCCCGGTCGCACCGCCGCCCCTGCCGGTGGTCCAGCCGTCGTCACCATAGCCAAAAGGGTCCCATATATTCGAGGAGGAGAAAGCAAGGGAACGAAATCCGGCCTTCCTCCGCCCTGCCAAGGCCCAAATGACGACATTAGCACCACCACTTTTTGTTACTACTGCTTTAAACCAGTTTTAGGTTGAATTCAAATTAGGTTTTCTCGGGGCTTTTATGGTTGGTTGGTGCTTGATGGCCATTTTGGAACTGATTTGCTCGGAGCGAGTGCATGGTCGGTCTTAGCAGTACTACTGTGTACGGCGGCGCTGTTCAGTTCAAGTAACAGCCACGTTTCAGTTCATTGCCAGTTTACATGGAATGATGACACGTACGTTGTTTGATGGATTTCAGTCCCATGATGACGAGGACGAGAATTGGATTACTTTCTGGAGCAGATGGGTGTTTTGATCCTCTCATTTTTGTAACCTTAAACTAATCTAATTTAGTTGTGCCAAGCTATAATGTTAATGTTGCAGGTTCAAATCTATGTTTTCAGAACCGGACCGGATAGCGACTCGGCCGAGGTCAGGGGTCAGGGGTCAATGGATTCGACCGGGGGTCGATAGGGGTCGAACCGGATGACGTCATAAATAAAAATTATTTTAAAATTAAAATGTTATATATATAATATCTAATAATATATTGATATTAATAAAGGCATATTCATATATATTTGATGTTTCAAATATATTTAACAAGAAAATACAAAGAAATTAGAACAATCAAGTAGCAATTTATATTATTTAATAAATATTAACAAGTTTAGAATTAAAATTATGAATTTAATTGAAAAATAACATCAAATTTTAGGACAATATTTATAAAGTATCAAATATTTGAGGTATATCAATAAGTTTTAACAATTTAGGGGGTCAAAACATAATATTAAAAAGTTTGAATTTTTTTTTTAAAAAAATACTGTTGAACCGGAAAAACCGGTTTTTTCCCGGTCAAACCCGGTTTTTGACCGGCTTTGACCGGGTTTTAAATCTCCGGTTTTCTAATGTGACTCGGACCGGCTACCTGGCCGGTTCCCGGTTCAACCGGTTCGACCGGCCGGTCCGGTCCGAGTTTGAAAACAGAGGTTCAAATCCCTGCCCATTCTACCCGTTTCTTAAGTCCCATTCGTTTCTTGCTGAAAAAAAAAAAAATTTAGAGAAAATCTATAACATTGAAAGTTGGTCCGTTTGAATTGCTATTTTTTTGAATTTTTATAAAAAAAATATATTGTAATGATATAATGTATGTGAGATAAAAAAATAATTAAGAAACATATTCACGATAAACGTAATTTTTTTTTTTTGGAAAAAAATGACTTTCCAGACAAGGCCTTAATTGTTGTTTGGGTTAAGCACAAATAATTGTTCCAAACAAGTATTCATCAAATTGGGAAAGCTAAGCTTAGTTTTATCAAATTTCAGAATTTATGTTTATAGAGTCAAATTTAATTTGAGTTTAAATTAGTATGAAATCTTTTTCATACTTTCTTTAAACTCTTGCGGTTGAGGTTGGGATTTCGTGTCTTGATTTTGGCAAGTAAATAACATTTCTTTAACTATGTGTGGATTGTTATGTTCGTATTTGTGCATACTATCGTTCAGTAAATTGTAATTTGTCAGAATTCATCTCACCGTTATGGGTTTGGCTTGTAATCTAATCATTATTATTACAAAATAATACTCGCTAATATGAAAGAATCTACTTTTAAGCCGAGTTCCCCTTAAGCATTAGATAGTTAAGACGTTACTCTTTCAATCTCTGAATTTGGCAATTTAACTTTAATTTTTGTGAGTATCAATCAAGTGCTTTAACATTAATATTTCTCTTTTTAATTTCCAAGTCTATGACATGATGCAAAATACACATATTCTCTCGCGGTCTTACAGCACAACAAACTCTGCGTCTCTACTGAACTATTCAAGCAGAACGCAAATCAGCAAGTGGCAATTAGTCCGTAGGGTGAATTAAATGTTAGTCCTCCCAAAGTTGGGATACTATAATTGACCCCTCCATACTTCAATCCTTTCAAATTTAGCCTTCCGATTTCAAAAATTTTCCCCATTAGTTGAAATGATATGGTGATTGGTGTTGACTGATATTGGCTTAAATCCACTAGATTGAAACACAGAGGTCATGAAAACCAAATGAGGTGTTATATGGCAATCACTTAGATAGTCCACTTGTATTTTGCTCTTGATTTTTAGTTTTTTTTTTTTTTTTATAGAAAAAATGTTTGAATAGATTTAACTCCGATCACTATCATGGGTTAAACCGTGTCTCTGGAACATAGGTCACTTACATGGTTCTTTTACATTGTACACCAACACATGATTCTTATAAATTTGTCATTCAATTGATAATACCTCAGTTGAAAGTTAAACCCGTTCAAATTATTTTTCATCATACGTGAATGGAAGCAAATTAAAGAACTACATGTGAGAGCATATGCTGGCTGCATCAACCATGAACAAGTTTTGAATGTGTTCTAAGGTGTCTCCATTCTATTCTTTTCTACCATGTGGAGGGAGAACCCCCCCTCTCTTAACATATGGAAGGGTCCTTGTAAAACATTCATACTTTTATTGTCATCCTTTAAACCTTCTTTCATTGCTAAAGTTTTAAAAATATATATAATTTGAAAGTAAAAGTACGTGAAATGGTGAGATACTTTTTTTTTGGGGGGAATCTAGCTAGATACCATGCTTCTTTATTATTTTTCTTCTAAGGTAATTTAGCAAGATACAATAATGTGCTTAATTAGCTTTAGCATGAATCACAGCTATTCTTAAAAGTTGGCTCCATACGTATATGAGATACAAATTAATTTTAAAGGGACTCGTGCCAAATGTAGATTAATTTGACAATTCATTGAAGTAGGCTGTAGTTCATAATTGACAATTATCTTTCATTCCACGTCAATTATCTTTCCTGGCCAAACTAATTTCGATTGGCAGTGACTAGTGAGCTAGTAATGGTATGGTGTCATGGACAACTTTGTTCGACTTCTTATGGTTCTCCGTCAAATCCTGCATTCAGAGAAAGTTAAACTCCGCAAAAACTTGAAAATATGGACGACTTTAATTTCGTATCATCAACTGACAATACTTGCACAAGATTGAAATGGTACAAAACTTCGTCATGCATCTAAGAGCATGCCACCCCCAATTTATTTCAAACCAAAAAAAGAAATTGCAAAATTACATTAGGGACCAACAAGAATGGCATTGAGCTGATCATTGCCATAATTACGCTGGTCCTCTAGAATTTGTTTAACAGAAATGGTGGCAGAAGCCCCACACCATTTCATCTCAATCAATTGTAGAGTTGGAATTTCTCCAAAGGAAGAAGGGATCTCCTCAAGTTGCTCACAACTTAGCACTACGAGTTGCTCAAGGCAGGGGAGCTGCTCGCTAGTTGCATTCCACTGTACAATATCCAGAGATTCTAGTTTCAAGAACTTCAGTTTCTGGAATTCGCCTTCTCTCATGTCCCATTGCTGCCCTTCGAATGCCTTGTCGAGTAATTTTAGAACCTCAAGATTTGGTAACTGGCCAATGACTGAAATTTCATGCCACGATAGGCCAGCGTTCGACATTGTCAACTTTTTCAGCTTTGAAGGGAGGCTAAAGATACAAGGACAGGGCGCCCAAGCATGGAACGACATCTTGAGCGATTGAAGTTCACACAAAAACTCTAATATCCGAAATGGATTTTGCAAGCTTGAAAGTAATCCTTCCATGTACTTGAAAATATGCATCCTAATTTCTCGATGTTGGGTAGCCTCCTCAGGAATTTCTCAACACTTGCATGTTGCATAGAAATGGTGGAAATGGATTTCAAATTATTCAGGTCAGAACAGTTTTCAAGAAACTCTTGACTGTAATATTCGCAACTGAAGAAAGAATGATCCAGTATAAGCTCCCTCTCCATTGCCGATTTCCAAATAGTCTCTGGTAACATGACGTTACCAATTGCACCACTGATAAGAAAAGTTTCCAAGTTTCGGAGGTTGCCGATATCAGAGGGAATATTATTTGTACGAATCCGGACAGCCAAGTATTTTAAGTGAACCAGCTTGGCTATCTTGACAAGATCAGATGTGTCGGCGCTACTTTGGACTCGAACATTTCCCAAGTCTAACACACTAAGGTGTTTGCACTTGAGAATTGAACCATAATCTAAGTGCCTGCTTTGGCTAGTTCTGGTGCCATGCACAAGCCCTTTTTTATACCCTAATCCTATCTGTTCGGAGAGATTATGCCTGCCCTTAGAAAGAAAATCTCTGAACGCACATTCAGAGTGAAAGCCTCTAGCATGAGGAGGCAAAGACCCTGAACTCACTAGTTCAGTTCCATCAGGTTTATGAAAGTACAGCAATGAAGAGATGTTCGTAGAGATGTGCAAAAAATTCAAACCATGCAGTCGGAAACTACCCAAAAGAATTGCAATTCCATGAGAAATGTCTTCTCGTGTCACAGATCGTCTTTTCCCAAGTTTTGCTGTACAATATTCATGCAGCACATTATGAACGCGACATGCTTTGACTCCTCCCTTGGAACTTTTTCTGGCTATCATTACAAGACTTCTATCAATTAACTCATTCAGGTAACTCTCTGCCTCTTGCTTTAAGTTCTTGCGGCCCCAATTTGACTGCTGCACAAATCCTTCGGAATTCCATAACCGCATCAATTTTGACACTGAAATTGTTGTGCCCTCTGGAAAAGTTCCTAAATAACAGAAGCATGGCTTCAAGTGATCTGGCAAGCGCTTGTAGCTAACTTCAAGAATTTCCAGGATTTGTTCCTGTATGCTTAATGACCTGAATAACGTCTTAGCAACATGTTTCCAAGAATCCTTTTTTCTCTTTGTCCTTTTCGGAGTACCAGCTATCAGAACCAATGCAAGTGGCAGCCCTTTGCAACAGCTGGCTATACGGCATGAGATACTGGACAATTCCTTATGACAAGGATCTCCATTAAAGAGCTTCATTGAGAGCAATTCATAGCTCTCTTCATTGGAGAGCAGACGAAAAGCATAAGTAAGGCTTTTAGCTTCCAAAGCAACAGCATGGCTCCGAGTAGTAAACAAAATTCTACTCCCATTCCCGTCATCAGGGAAAATTACCTTTAAACCATTCCATGCCTCAATATCCACGCAAGATCCTCAGTGCCACTTCCATATTTATGCAAAGTGTCCTATTTATTTAATTTATCATGTGCTATTTATTTAAATTTCTTCTGCCATCACATGATAAGTGGAATTGACACTGGATTTGGCACCGAATAGTGGAATAGAGGATCCCAACTGAACCTCGCGAGGGTGTCTACCAGCACACGGGATCCTCTATGCCACTTTTCTAGTGGCACTGAAGTGCCACTTCTATATTTATGTCAAGTGTCCTATTTATTTAATTTATCATGTGTTGTTTATTTAAATTTCTTCTACCATCACGTGATAAGTGAGATTGGTACTGAATTTGACACCGAATAGTGGTATAGAGGATCCTAACTGGTCTATTAGACCAAAGCCCGGTGGTTGAAAAACTTCTATTGGTCACGTTGGTTTCTTGACCTTGACAGCACGAGCACCTTACGGCAACACCCTGACCAACTGGACTAATCCAGTTGTTAGCCATACGAAATACTTAATTTAGCATGGATTAAGACATTATCTAATGAACGAAAATTCTAGGAAAAAAGAAACTCCCCCACCAGGAAATTTTAGAAATGTAAAAGCTTATTACACAAACGAAAGAGGAGTTTCAAGAGACTCATGGAAGGAATTTTAAAGAGTAGTTTTGGGCGGAAGGAATTTTAAAGAGGGTGAGGAGAATATTAAAAATGGAAAAAAAACTAAGTAGTAGTAGTTGGTTTGTGATAATCCAAGAATGTAGATTAAGACATTAGCGAATCAAAGAATACGTCACTTCTTACCATCCATAAATATAAAGCAAGTTTTGAGGGAAATATGAAATCAAAAAGCCCCAAAAGATAAAAATCTTTTCTTCATTTGGCAAAGCTTTTAATTGCATATTTGCATCCTTTCCAATCCAACTTGACGAAGACAAATTTTGCGGCCACCCATCGGAGCAGCCAAGGTCTCAGCACACTGAAAGCGTACTTGCCGTCAGAAGCATAGAAGCATTGAGCCTATTTGGATAGAAATTATTTCTTTGTATTATAAACACATTTTTCAACATATTTTTTTGTCACATATATTACAAAAAAATGTTATAATAATTATTCTAAATAATATTTTAAATAATTTTCTGTCCAAACACACCCATTGAAAGGACACGAGGCCCTAGCCCAAACGATTGTCAGAAAAATCATTTAGGTCGATTTTTTGCAAAATACACAAGATATAATTTTGTATGCACATGGTGTAACTTACTTTCAACAACGTATAACTATAAAACAAAATTTTATGTGTCTCACACATGATATGAAAAATAACGTACAAGGTACAATCTGAATCTATATATATATATATATATATATATATATATATATATATATATATATATATATATATATATATATATGTGTGTGTGTGTGTGTGTATATATTGTAAAATCTTGACTATCAACCTTCAGGAACGGTTGTTCCTAACCCTCCTCCCCGTTGAAACTTCTTTAAGATGTTAGTGACCAGCCGTCTACATACAGGATCTTCAGTGCTACTTTTTCAGTGACAATTCAATGTCATTTCTATATTTATGACAAGTGTCATGTTTATTTAATTTGTCACGTGCTATTTATTTAAATATCTTCTATCATCATGTGATAAGTGAGATTGACACTGGATTTGATATCGAATAGTAGCACAGAGGATGGCCGTCCTGACCTTTGGATTTTGTGATTATTACCTATCAACTCAAGGGACCTCCCCAACTAGTGGTCACTTATCAAAAGGCCTTTTTTACATGACCGGATTGACAGATTATTAGCCTCAGAAAACGATTAGCCACAATTGTATGGGCCAGCATAAAACTTTAGATCCAAAGACCATCCAAATACATTGCGCCTTATTCTATGCTCTAAATCCAAACACTTAATATGTCACTGCTAACATTTATTTTCCCCCAGAAGCCCATCACTAAAATTCAACCGACATAACTGCGTCACTGCTCAGATCTTTACTTGAAAAACCCCTAAACTTCCAGCCAAACGTTTTTGAATTACAATTCTCAAACAAATTTTTAGTTATCCGTTATATTTCCTTCAAATAGGTAATACTCCGATGAAATACAATTAACTGTACTGAATTGAAGAACTATGTTAGCTGCTACTCATTTCAATACTTTCTCCAAATTTCTTTGTTTTTTTTTTTGAAGAAAATAGGAATGCCACTTGTACTTTTGGAAAAGAAAAAGATTGCAGAAAAATAAAAATTCCACTTTTACATTGGAAAATCCACTCAACCTCCAAAATTATTATGCTGTTATTGGCAATACCGTCACTATTGAGAAGATATTAGATGGAGGACAGGAGGAGTAACGGATAAGAGTACACATTTGTCCAAGACTGTCCGCAGCCGCCTACCAGGACCCGCCTTTGTGTAACAATTCTGTAATGGAAAGGACAGAAGATCTTTTGTTCTACGCCTGCTTCACGGGGATGCCTCACTTATTCATAGCAGTGACCTCTGCGGGCTCCAACAAAATGGGAATCTCCTTTCTCGGCGTCTATATAATGGAGCCCTCCTCTTTGCGGCATTTTCACAAGCACTTACCAATCCTTATTTTTATTCTTCTTCTTCATGTCATACCTCAATAATATCCATGGCCGAACAAAATCCAGTCAAATTTGGCATTCTGGGCTGTGCTGAAATAGCCCGGAAAGTTTCCCGCGCTATAAGACTTTCCCCCAACTCCACACTCTACGCCGTAGGCAGCCGTTCCGTCGAAAAAGCAGCAAAATTTGCTAAAGACAATGGATTTCCGGATTCAGCTAAGGTCTATGGCGGCTACGAGGCCGTTCTGGACGATCCAGACGTCGACGCCGTTTACATCCCGTTACCCACTAGCATGCACGTCAAATGGGCTGTTTTGGCTGCCCAGAAGAAAAAGCACGTGCTTCTGGAGAAGCCTGTTGCCCTTAACGTTAAGGAGCTGGATGTGATTCTGGAGGCGTGTGAATCTAACGGGGTGCTGTTCATGGATGGTACCATGTGGATGCATCATCCTCGTACTGCAAAAATGAAAGAGTTTCTTAATGATCCTCAACGATTTGGTCAACTTAAGACGGTAATACTATATACTTTCCATTCCCCCAAACAAATGTTGTTTAGTACTAGCAGTTTCTTTTTTGTCATCCTAAAATTAGGTAGACTAATTAATCAATTAGTTTTGCTTTGTGGGCCTTTTCCCTGCTGATCCTAACTTCAAGTCGTGTAATCTGAGTAGAAATTTGGACTTATTTTGTTACTTAATTCGGTTATACTTCTGAAGTACCAGTATGCTCTTGGTCCAGTCAATCAAGATTGTGGTTTTTTTTTTTTTTTTCCTGAAGCTGATTATGGAAAAGTATTCTGGAAAACCTGTTTTAGTAGGTAGAGTAATGTTTTTGCTTTCAGAACTTCAAAAGGTTCAGTAGAAGTTCAAAGACACTAGTTCCTGAAACTGTTGTTTTCAGAAGCATCAAGGGTTAGCTCATAATCATTTTTTTAAGATTAAAATAAGCTAAAATCGGACGTCCAACTCGAGAGCATCTGAAAACAGATATTGTTGAGAATAGCACAATCAGGTGATTGTAACCCCATGGAACGAACCCTTAATATTGTTGTTAGTTCTTCGTTGCCTTGGTTAAAATAAGTTCTAAAGTTAGAAATCAGTGATGATATTGATCCCTCTTATGCGTGTCATGATGTTTTCAGCTGCTGAAGACAGCAACGTTGAGCCTTCATCTTAGGTGAACTTTATATTTGCCATATTACATGATACCCCATGTGAAAGTTGATTAGTTATGATGTTCTCCCTTTTCCCCATAGTGAAAAATGCAGATGTCTCTGTCTTCTATCACTGGGATTCAACAATACACGGGGTTTTATTCTAGTTGTATAGATGTCAATCACCCTTTATTTTCCTCGGTTACTTTAGGATGTTACTTAGCTTTGTGAACTTTTCGTGGTCATCGAGGGTAAAATGCTCTAAGTGTAAAGCTGGATGACAGAATTACTGGTAGTTGAAAAGAAATGCTCCTGGCTAGTCCATTCTCTGGTATGTGGGTGCAAGTTATATGTTGGTGATATCCATATATTTGAACATAAACACAAAAAGTTTCAGTAGTATTGGTAGTATTAGTTATTGCAATAAATCAAGGTTTCATCTCAGTGGTCTCACTTTCCTTGCGGCAACCACTGATGATTAATTTTAAATCTTAGTGCATAGTTGATTGACTCTGTAATTTTTCAGGTGCAAACTGTTTTTACATTTGCTGCTGATCCTGAGTTTCTGGAAAATGACGTTCGGGTGAAGCCAGAGCTGGATGCTCTTGGTGTTCTTGGTGATGCTGGATGGTACAACGTCAGAGCATGTCTGTGGGCTTTTGATTATGAGCTACCGAAAAAGGTAACCGCATTGCCTGGCCCTGTTTTCAACAAATCAGGGGTGCTGGTATCCTGTGGAGCTTCTCTGTACTGGGAAGATGGGAAAGTGGCTACTTTCCACTGCTCTTTCCTGTCCACCTTGACAACGGATGTAACTGCTGTTGGTACAAAAGGATATCTGCGCCTTCATGACTTTGTTATCCCTGATGAAGAGGACAAGGCTTCCTTTTTTACCTGTGAGAATCCAGGGTTTGCTGAACTTCAGAGGGGGGTGGTTGCCGACCGAAATGAGCATGTCGTAGCTACTGATCTACCTCAGGAAGTTAAAATGGTCATGGAGTTCTCAAGGTTGGTTGGAATCATTAAAGCTGAAGGTGGGAAGCCAGAGAAGAAATGGCCAACCCTCAGTAGGAAGACACAATTAGTTCTGGATGCAGTGAAGACATCAATTGAGAAGGGCTTTGAATCCGTTGAACTGATTAGTTGATTATACTTTTTCCTGTTGCCCATTTGGCATCCATCTTGAATTAGCAGTTCTTCCTATCTTTGCCTGGGCAATGGTATGAAGTGAGTACTCTCTAATTTATTCCTTCAAAAATCTGGTTGAAAGTTTTGTGAATGTTGCTTGGAATTCATTTCCACCTTTGAATTGTAAACTTAGTCAATAAGCCTCTAAAAGTAGCATGAAATTGCAGGTTCAGTTTTTGTTATTATGATGATTTCTTTGAAAAAAACATACTGTTTATTAGTAGGTGGTTTTTTTTTTGTTGGATTGCTGTAGGTGGTTTCAAATTAATAAAAAAATCGTTTCAATTAACATGGCCATTGTTGATTAGATCCTAACATGGCATTTGAGTCTAGTTACCAAACATGTGCTTTTTTTTTTTCCCTAACAGATGTCTAATGAACACTTGTTGAGACATGTATATCACGCTTAATTTATTATATAAATATATACAATAACAATTATTATCTTATTTTATATTTATAAATTTTTCCTTATTAACTTTGCTTTTTTAATATATTAACGCCATGATTACATTTTAATGAGTGACTTTTTTTTTTTTTTTTTTTCCAAAATTTGTCT